CTTCTGCCACCCTTGTTATCCACAGGAGTGGGTCTCATCGGGGATTCTCTGGTGATCCACAATATCTCCAGGGTCTGTGCTGACGATTATGAGTGTGTGGCCGATAACGGGGTCCAGCCCGCCATGAGCCAGGTCTTCAAGGTCACCGTGCATTGTAAGTTGATTTATTTTAGTAAGGATTTACGGCGCTCGGAACTGCATACGATCATAATTAAATGAGTGCGAAGAGGTGGATGGCAACAGAGAAGTCCAAACGGGGAATCAGGCATACTCTGCTCACCTCTCTAGCCTTATGTATATGTATGTATATGTGTAATATGGTCACTTTTAAGGACAAGCGGGCTCCCTAGATTTTGGGGGGTTCCAGAAATCTTGACTTACACCAAAAGAGGGCATTGCCCTACCTTTAAAAGAAGTTTGGTTGCATTGGTGTGTAAATTTGTTTTGTTATAAAAAAACACAAACTATCCTTGTCTTTTAATGAAACTGAGCAAGGGCCAAGACTTCACCTTCTTTTTTCTCAAAACAGCATTTTTCGGGATAGCCCCCTTGGCCTTAAAAGCGACTATATTGTGTAAATGTACATTTATTTGTATAATATATTATATAATATGTATATGTATATAATATGTAAAAGTATATGTATATGTATAATATGTATATGTACATGTATATGCATATATGTAATATGTATATATTATATGTATGTGTTGACATGTATCTGTTTACATACATATACATACACATATTCCTTATCGCCAGCTCAAACAAGAAAATAATATGATAAATTTTATTAGAGAGCTTTACCAACTGTTCAGAGATTAGCTGGCTGTGGAGGAAGGGGAAGGCACAGGAGAACATGGACAGGGAGGGACAGGGAAACGTTAGACTTAAAACAATAGTATTATATAATATACTCACGCGGGAGGCAGTTCAACAAACAGGTAAAGACATAAGATTCTCCCTCAGACATCGTGAGATAACAGAAGCAGCAAAAAGAAAAAAAGTACCAACTAACTGTTCAAAAACTCAAAATGAGAAAATAAATGCCTCTATTGTATGGTTGGAGGGTGTTGTAGTGTGGTTTGCTGCTTCATTTCTATCAGACATCTATCGTCTTTATTTCTCCTCCTCTTTTTCTTTGTACGTTACTTAATAGTGACATCTCTAATTCTCGTCAATTATAAGATCTATTTGTGTTATAAGTGCCATAAAACAATACTAACACTAAAAACTAGCCGCCACCTCTTTACCAATTAGTCCGATCTTGTCGACGAGACTGTCTCGCTACTTGCATGTGCTTTCCTTCTGAGACAACCCAGGAAATTGCTCCTAGCGTGCTCGATTTGATTGGCCTATCTGCCTCTATAGACCCCAGAGGATGAATAGCTGGAAGATGCTCATCAATAGATAAAGAGCCCTGACCACTCTGACGTGAGACTATCTGCTGTACAAGTACCGATAATTGTCAACAAACGGAATAAAAGTGGTCATAGTGACTGACCATCGCCGCTCGGGCAGCGACTGGAAAGCTTCTTTTGTAGGCGTATGGTCAACGTAAGGGCAGCGTCATGAAATATGAATGGAGGCCCCAATCTGACGTCTAGCGCTATTGCAGCGTCTTTGCCCGCACACGCGCGCGCGCGGAGAGTGGGTGCTTAGATAAACTCCTTGGCGACGGTGATGTTAGTCTCTGCGTGTCTGCAGAAGTGGACGAGTGAGTCATCCAGTTGTCTCAGAACCCGACTTTAATTTGCTATGCCTCGAGTCAAAACATTCCCACCTAATTTATGCCTTATTGTTTCCGTTCGTAGATACACTGTTTTTGTTTTGAGGGCGTGCCTCGCTTGTCATAACGTGCCACTTCTACTTCCATGGCCTCACCTGCCTCCTTAATGTCCTCTACAGTCGCTAGCAGAATGAATGCAAACAAAAGGGAGGATGAGTAATTAGTCCTCGTTTACCACAGTCGGAGACTTTACTGTTGTGAGACTGGTGTTTTCTTCTGTTTCGTACTGAAGCGAAAATTGATATCATTTCACGTCTAAGTGGGTGGTTGGCGGGTGCTCTGGCCTGCTAATTGCCCCTTCTTTCGTATCAAACATCTATCAACCCTATCTCTCATCCTTTTTGTTTATGTTTATCGCTCTCTCGTAACACCTCTAATCTTCGGCACTTATACAGTCGTATTGTGTTGCAAGTGCTGTTAAACTGTAAGAATAGCTAAATTATTTGTCACGCCTAATTCACTTTGAGTACGGAAGTTCCTAGACGTACATTATCGTTTTTGGAAGAAAAGCGGGCGAAGGCTGATAGAGTGGAGACATGACGTCTATTGCCATTATTGTTTTTCTTATTTATATGCTGATACTGTTATTGTTGTTGTTATTATAAGGATAATAAAAACTACTTTTTTATTATTGTTATAATTATTATTACAATCATTGCTGTTGTTGTTTTTGTTGTTACTAATACACCATCTCTCTCTTTCTATCTTTCTTTCTCTTTCTTCCTCTTTCTCTCTCTCTCTCTTTCTCTCTCTCTCTCTCTCTCTCTCTCTCACACACACACACACACACACACACACACACACACACACACACACACACATACATACACACACATACGTACTCGAACACACATACACACTCACACATACACACAAACACACATACACACATAAACACACACACACACTCACGCACACGCACACACATATGTGTGGCATCGTAATGAAATCAGGAGCTCGTCAAAATAATGAAATCGAAGGAACCAGCATTTTTCTACTCGGTGGGATATCTGTATCAAAATTATCTTTTTTTTCGATTATCGCCTTTTAAGTCCGTTTAAGAACACATTTCTGTGCTGAATTTAGGAGAAAACCGTTGATTGAAGGCAATAAAAATGCAAATTTGCTGTTTCCAAGAACCAAGGAGAGTTAAGCTTTAAAAGTTAGCAAACTATAAAGGTCAGTTTTTCGTTAATTTTACACCTGACACCTGGCAACTCCCAATTCTTTCCATTGAAAGTATTAGAGTTCTGGTCAAAATGAAAGGTTGAAAAAAATGAACAGCAAGATTCATAAACAAATTTCAAGATGATACAAATTTCTCCTCTAATGACCCTAGGAAGTCCTGGTAATCTGAGAATCACGGCACTTCCCTCCGCTGGTTATTTGGCTACTCAACGGTGTATATATATATATATATATAAATATATAATATATATATATATATATATATATATATATATATATATATATATATATATATATATACACATATATACATATATTATATAATGTATATAAAGACTGAGACATATAATGTTAAGAGGAGGAGAAAGTAGGAAAATAAAACAAATTTGCGAGTAAATAGCTATTTTAGTCGTTGCCACCACCAATATTACGTCCTTCAGTGCACATGTTTTGTGTCTGTTTTTATTAATTTTATAAAGCTATCGAGCTGTAAATAAATCTTTAAGTATACGCCCAGCTTGTAGTAAAAATACAGACATACACGAGTGACCAACGAAGAAAATCCAGATGGAGAGATGAACAGATAAGAAAGAGAAACAATAAACTAATGTTGTCCCTTATTCTACGCTATTCTTTTCCTCTCTAAGACCCCCCAGAAGTGCGCCTACCCAACACCAGACTGGGTCAGCACAAAGGCAAAGACACAATCTTAGAGTGTGAAGTGTCGGCCTCTCCTTTAGGATACGCGGCCTGGAAGCATCGTGGAAGGTGAGTCGGAACTCGGAATTGTATATTTAAAAAATCTATTCCATTGCCATTGTCATTGTCATTGTCATTGTCTTTGTCATTGTCATTGTCATTGTCATTGTCATTGTCTTTGTCATTGTCATTGTCATTGTCATTGTCATTGTCATTGTCTTTGTCATTGTCTTTGTCATTGTCATTGTCATTGTCTTTGTCATTGTCATTGTCTTTGTCTTTGTCATTGTCTTTGTCATTGTCATTGTCATTGTCATTGTCTTTGTCATAGTCATTGTTATTGTCTTTGTCATAGTCATTGTTATTGTCTTTGTCATAGTCATTGTCATTGTCATTGTCATTGTCTTTGTCATTGTCTTTGTCTTTGTCATTTTGTAATTGCCATTGTCATTGTCACTGTCATTGTCATTTTTATTGCCCATGTCGCTGTTATTGTCAATGTCAATGTCATTGTCAGTGTTATTGTCAGTGTCTTTGTTATTGCAATTTTCATTGCCATTGTCATTGTCATTGTCGTCGTCAACGTCATTGGAATTGTCATTATCATGGCCATTGTCATTGTCATTGTCATTTCTTCTCTTCTCGTATTGAATTTTAATGAGAATAATATACAATTCAAATTTTTATGTGTACATGCGGTTTTTTTACGGTCCTGTTAAGCCAAGAAAATTTTCCCTTTGGGATAATAAAGTAATACCTTATCTCATCTTTATGTCATTATTATGGTCATAGTCACTGTCATTATCATCGTCATTGTCATTACCTGTGGCCTTGCAATTACCTATGTCAATGTCTTTGTTATTATTATTATTGCTTCAGAACTTTGATCAACTCCCACACCCACGAGCTGACTCTGTACAACAGTAACCCAGACGAGGGCATCATTCTCAGTCTTCGTATTCTGAGGGTGGAGGCAGAGGACTTCGGCAAGTACGTCTGTGAAGCCAAGAACACACTAGGAGTTACTTACAAGACTATGGAACTCTATGGTACGTGGAGATATCTTTGGGGAAAAAAAGGATTTCATGATGGATCACAAAATTATCATCAGCAACAGTCATGACAGCAACAACAGTAATGATATAATAAGAGAAATGACATCTTTGACAACAGCACTAACAACAACAACAACAACAACAACAACAACAGGAATAATGGCATAAGAGAAGAAACAAAGATGATACCATCACCACCATCACCACCACACCGTTGAGTGTGTAAGTGTGTGTGTGCGTGCGTGTGTGTGTGTGTGTGTGTGTGTGTG